CAAACATACATTTCTATTTCAGTATTGTAGTTTCATTCTTAGGGATTTTAAATGACATTGAAAAGAATGATTATTGTGTCTGCCCTCTTCCAAGAGTCTCGCCTCATTTTAATTTTCCATCTTGTTGCCTAGGCCAGACCTTTCAGAACCATGTTCAGCTGTGCTTAGGGAAGGCAGGTGTTTGGGTCCTGATTTGATTTCTGGAGAAGACCTCCAAAGTGTCACCCTGAGGAATGGCGTTCACTTTTGGTTTCATACAGAAATTCTCATAATCAAGAATGCAACCTACTATTCTAAAAGGTTCTGAAAAAGATCAAAATTGGTGTTTAATTTTACCAAATGTCTCTCCAGCGTCCATGGAGACTGCTGTTTTATTTAATTACACTATGGATATGGTACAGTATTAATGATCAAAGGTCATTTACAGTCTTGGAATAAATCATTTTGTTAGGTTTTCCTGGGTGCTCTCATATATACTCTTCTGCTGAGACTTGTGCTGGTGAGAATTGTGTAAGGAAGTGATCATTTCCTGTGAGGGTGGGTGGGAGTTGATTAGATGGGGCAGAAGGGGACTTTCTGGGGTGGTGGCAGTGTTCTATGTCTTGATCAGGGGATAATTACCCAGGCGTATACAGTAGTCAAAGTTGGGCAGAACACTTACAAAGTGAGCATTTACTGCATGCCACTTATGTCTCAATGAGTCACCAGCACACAGCGCCCAAGAGCTATGCAGGACCAGAGGTTTGTCTGCATCTCCATGGAGACCCGAGATGGGAAGCGCTGCAGGTCTCTTGCTGGCTGGTGGTCGGGGTCAGTACTGGACCGCAGGACTCCTGACCCTGACCAGAGCATTCCCCACTGTGTGTTACAGGAACAGGCAGACGCTCAAGTGTGGGTGTCAGAGGAAGACGCTGGTTCCAGTGAATGACGCTGACCCCACTAAGAGTAAGTGTTTTGTGCCTTGAGACGCAGCAGGAGGACAGGGAATAGGGACAGTGTCCTAACTGCTGTCCCTATAGCTGAGAGGGCTCTTCTGGAGCATTCACTGCTGGAAGCAGGGGGTCCCATGTCAATCCTGTGCTGATTGTCCTTGGAGCATCGAGACCCTAAATCTCTTCTCTCTTCTCAGTCAACACCTTGCTGGATGCCTCGGCAACACTGGAGGAAGGACATGCAAAGGAAACAATTCAGGACCACATGG